TGATTGGAATGAAAATAGACGCGCTGAATTTCGTTTGTTTTATGAACGATAGTATTTATCGAACATTTATCTATATAAAAACAAGATTAATATTGTAGAAATTGTATTTCTAAAGATTCATATATAATTCATATTTCATTTGGTAGACAATAAATATTCAGTAAGATACTAAAAACGCTTATTAATTCTGAAATGTGCATCAAATCTCAGCTATTATTAATCAGCAGTTTGTATTAGGTTAAAGACTTAAAACAATAATTTCGAATTAGGTCTAGTAAACAAATAATTGTAATTAAAGTTTAGGTTCCCATGATGGAAGATGACGTTTTCAATATGATGCTATATTTTGGGCTCTTGACTTAATTTAACGATGGCCCTGTCAGTTGTAGTAAATCTTTGTAAATTACTTTATAGGCCTATATAATAGCTTGTTTTGTTTTATAATAATAAATGTGTTGAGTGTATTGATATTGATTATGCGATGAGGTTTTTTTTTTTTTTTGTCTTTCGGTGTGATTAAAACATGCCAATTCTCAGAAAATATTTTCAAATTCTATTATATACCACATTTTATTACATCTTTTTTAAAAACATAACTGCTTTTATAACATTATATAGAACCATTAAACACAAAAACTGCTCTGGCTTCGGGGGCTTCGCCCCCGACCCCACCAGGGCCCTTATTCAGTGTCCAGGCCCCACGCCCAGAGAACCCCCCTTGAAATGACCTGGCTACGGGCCTGCTAGACCTGTCCTAGAAAGAACTAAAAACTCAACGTCTCTTGTAAACGTTTATCCAAGTCAATTGTCAACACAGAAAGTGTGGATGTGTTATGAGTTAAAATCAGCAAAAAAGCAGTACACAGTCCCGCTGGGAGCCTATTTTTATTTTAGTCTGACTGAACATCCCAATAAAACAATCTATCCAGGGGGTATATTGGCGACGGAACCAACTTGTCAAAGTTCTAAATGTCACCCCCAACCTGCATATCCTAATTGAAGTACTGAGTTTTAAAAAGGCCTTCTAATCTAAAATCAGTTAAAAAGTGAAACAAATTCATTTAAGAAATATGAGAGGATAAGATTTTAAAAATTACATCTGGAAACATGGCTAGTTCATATCCAAATTAGCTTAATTATGCCACTAATGTGTTAAAATGTAGGCTTATGTTGAATCCAAAATTCCATTGAAATATTGTTCGACTGAGATAAAATTCAATTGTTAATGGAAAACACAATAATTTGGCATGTAAATTAAGATCGACATTTGCCTACAAAATGACCTTAAGTGATACATTTAAACTTTGACCTTATATATGAAGAATTTTTCAATGAAACATCCAAAAAATAGGCCTAAAGACTTCGGATGTTTATTGTGATCCATAATTGATGAAGCAACCTGCCATCATTGGCCACCCGCCCCCCACCCCACCAACCCATTTTCTGATGACACAACCCACCAACAATTTTTCCACTATTAATCCCTTTATTTTCATTGTATATAGCCAAACACGGAATTGATGTGTACAAAATTCACGAAGAAAAATAAAACACTACAAAATGAATATCAATTTATTTATTTCCTTATATCATAGAATTATCAAGAATAAGAACACCTATTACATAAAAAATGAAAGACTTAACTAACTTAACCCAATATCCTAGACAAAACCAACATTTTTGAAGTGTTTCATTAAACTATATTAGAAACCCTGTGTCACAATTCCCTTGTCTTACATCCTTCAGTTCGTCCGTTGATACCAATTGGAATTTACAAAGACATAAACTACTATCAAATGAATATCAATTTCCTAGACAAAAACCAACATTTTTGAAGTGTTCCATTTAACTTTGAGTAATTAACTAAAGTTTTTAGGCCATATTTTTTAAACATTTCTCTGTGCGAGTGGGACTTTCCTATTTCTTTGCATGCATGCACAGTTGTATATTTTTTGACAACTGTAGAACTATATTAGAAACCCTGGGTCATTATTGTCTTTTTTTAAGTTGTTTTATTTTACATTAAGTAATTTATTTCTTTATTATGAAGGCGGTGGGTGACTTGGCCCATGTAAGTGTTTGAAGAACCTGCTCTGGCTTGTCTTTGAAATATTCGTCAACGGCTTCACTTTCCGACCATCTGTAAAGAAAAATTATAATAATATATTTTAAAACATTTATTTTCGATTTAGATCTGCATGTTCATAGTAATAAGCCAATAGACCTTTCCGGAGTGTCAATCAAACTTATCAACTGACTAATCAGAACAGCGCTAGGGATACGCGTGCGTCTCACAAACACACGTGTTGTCCCACAAACGCACGTGTTCGCGTATGTTTTAACATTGTCGTCTTGTGGGACCTTAGCAACAATATCCAAGGGGCGGGGCTTAGCGGAAAGGTCAATTCGTATTAAGGTCAATCGACAAAAACACCATACACACAACGTTGGTTTCGTCGACTGACCTCAAAAATAGCATTCAGCCCTGTGTGCTTCAGGCATTTTTTGAGGAAATAATGGAATAATGTTGAATATTATTCATCCATATAATTCTCATAATAGCAAATAAAATATACAATAGACTTTTGATAAACTTTGGAAGTAGTTAACAATTGTAATCGAACAAGTCATTAATAAATTTGAAAATGAAAGTTTTAGACAGAAACACATGAGCTTGAATAAAGTGGGAACAAGAAATTCAATTATCAAAAAACATTTTATTAATAAGCGGTAAGCAAAGTTTACCAGTTGTTAATTCGCTATACAAAAAAATTTAATTGGATTTGACAATAAGCTAACATGGAGAGTGTGGGCTCCTGTCTGAATCAGGTACTGATGTCTGCAGATAACATGTTAGTAGTTTCTGCAAGAAATACATTTTCTTAAAATTGTGCGATGTTTGATTATAACTTACTTTGCTATAGCATATTCATCAAATATAACGATACCGCCTCTAACAACTCTAGGCCACAGCGCCTTCAAAGCTTCTAGTGTGGGAGGCCCGACGTCCAGATCCATATGTAACAACGAAATCCTAAAGCCTGGATTCTTGTCAACATACTGCAGAAAATGAAATGTAATGTTCAAATCACCTCCACCATAACTCCCACATTAATGTGAGCTGTCGTGACAAAATGAGTCTTGTGGTACGCCAGGTCATTTGATATATAGGTAAGAAAATATATCTGAAGTGATATTGTGACAAAAATGGTTTTCAAATTTTCTGGTAAGTTTGATATGTATATTTTATTGAAGCAAAAGTTCTGAGTTGAGTTACCTAAGGTAATCACGTTATTGAGGGACAATTTGTAACGCTATTTTTCTGATTGATAGGAAAACCAACACAAAATTTATCAGTTGTTTATCTTTAAAAGCGATTTTTTTTTTAAAGTATGTGTTTAGGACTCTGAACTTTAAAATGATTTTACTCCAGTTTTACTCAACCTAGGAACTTGATTCAAAGACAAAATTAAAGTTTAGTCATATCAGGGAACATGACTGTTCCCTGGTCATATATCAATAACTTATTTTTCATTTTTTGTACCACAAGACTCATTTTGTCATGACAGCTCACGCATGAAATGGCAATTGTGGCTGGCAAAATACGGTGATTATAAATGAGGTCTTTCTTCTTAGCGTGTCCATACACACAAACTACTGTATAATAGTACGTGATGTTGTTTGAACTTACGGTGCTTGGTGTATATGGTAATGATAAGATTAGATTTACCCAGGAATGCGACATGGACGCTCCTATTTTGACCCCATTTAATGAGGTGATTTTTAACTACCTGAGCATAAATATGTTGCTCAGCAATTCTATACTGGTATGAGGAGACTAGGGGCACAATTCTCTTTGTTATACATGGGGGTGGGGTGCATACATATGCTATGCTCGTGGGTGCGAATTCTTAGGTTTTGCATGTTTTTTCTTGTCTTGCAAAAGTCAATAATAGGATGAGAGTAGTGGTTTACCGTGTTCTACATAAGAATTACTGTACATAGACGTATTATAAGTTATAATAAATGCAGTGGCGGGATGCTAAAGCTACCTAGGCATATTGGCAGATCAGATAAACTAGTCTTTAGCCTAACTAGCCGTAATAAATGAAATTAGACACACTTTTTTGGTTCGACATCGTAGGCCTAATAATTTATGTACGAAAATGCGTTCTTCAGGCCTATCGGTTCATCGATCCATGGAAGAAAGACGATACGTATCCAACTACTCCATATTGTTGGAATATAATAATATATTGCCTATGATTTTTTTTCTCTATATATAGGCCTAAAGAATGAGATATAATTACCTGACCTTTTTAAGGGGAAAACCTTGAATTTTGAAGAACTTAAAGACCATTAAAAGACTCCTCAGAAGTCTGGAAAGCTCATTTCCGGCCATCTAGGAATTAAAATTTTCCCTGGGGAGAACCCCCGACCCCCTTTCATTTTAGGGTTTTTTAGAAACATTTTTAACACCCATCTTTCAAATCCTGGCTCCGCCACTGAAATGTGTGTTTGCAGATAACATTCTCAGAATTATAGAAGTACAATAGTTATAATTTTTCAACATCAAAACAAACAATAAGGAAAATGAATACAACAAGAAAATGTACCTCTGAACAAGACTTGCAAACATCACCCTCTACAAGTTCCAAAATTGAACTGCTGCCACTTATCAATTTAGCTTGATTCATCAAATCCTCGGGCTCAATGCCTTCAAAGTTACTCTCTTTAAACAGCTTACTCATTTGCACATCATCGTTACCAACCAGTTTAGGTTGTGAAAGGAATAAATCAAATCCAATAACCTACGGAAAGAAGTACTAGGCCCATTTTAACTTCTGTATGACTGTATTTACTGTGTATGCGACACTCTGAGGCCCAATACAGGCGTGCGGAACAGGGCACGTGCCAAGCCACTCGGAAATATGAGCCTGGGCAAAATATGGGGCTACCGAATTTTGAAGATATTTATAAATTTTTTTTAATCAATTAACAGCATGGTCACAACAATGAACCTCCGAGCTGAAAATGTGTACCATTTGCATTCTTTCCCCGGACGTATTTTGTGCTACTGTACAAAACACCAACATAAAATCATAGTACAAATAAATTGATTATAAATACTGTAAAAAATACTTTATCTTTCACTCATAACTTTTGAGTTTTTTCAAAATTGAAATTAACAAACTTAATAACATTGGTACCGTATATAATACTATATTACTGCTGACCAGAAACTTGATTATACAGTATAACAGAAAGGCCTATCTGTGCACTTTTTGCAAAAAATTATGTCTAGTCCTATGTCTCAATACACAAGCAAAATATTACGTAATAGCTACGATTTTTTGCGCACACATTTTCCTAGCGATTTTTTGGAGTTAATTTGTATGTTTACAGCAGAGTGTGCATTATAGGTTAACAGATAAAGATACAGATGAATATTCACACCTTCTTAATTGAGCCGGGCATGTGCATCTGTCGCATCTTCAGAAACTGCATTAGACCAGTTCCCTTAAAAACGCCACATTCTACAATATCACCTGTTGAATAGTAATTAAAAAAACATTGTCATTAGCATTCACTGGGCTTAGTGCATATAGAGTCGCAACAATCGATAATGACGGTCACCAGCTGACAATACGAATACGCATACGGCTTAGCGTCGTTAAGCACTCACAGACATTGTTTTGTTCATATGCCCGTTGTACAAGCGTCATGGCTTAAGGTAAAAAGGAATCTAATTTCTTGTCAAAGAAATATCTTCAACTTCAATATTACTAATGAGTTGCACAAGATTTACAATTGACAAAACCAATTTGGTTATGACCAGGCAGACAGGACTGTTCAATCTAGATGAAATCATTTTCTCCAATATTCTACAAAAAATACCCTTGTTAGTGCAACTGATCTATGATACCCGATGGGGAGTACGTTCTTTTTCAGTGAGATTATTCGCTACTCTCCATTCCTTCCGGTAGTAACATTTTGTCCAGACATGGACCTGTTCTAGAGATCAGGAGGATTTAGAAGGGGGCGGGCACTTCCCCCTCACCCCTTTGGAAAGTAAAAGAAACAAAGAGAAAAAATTGATCACCCAAAATGCCTCAGAGGTTATTTTCGGCCTTCTAGAACGACGCTCCACAAACTATGGGCAGCGGCCCAAATTTTGGGCTGTGAAACATTTTTTGAGGGTCGCGAATCCGTATGAGAAATTGAAAAAAAAAAATAACAAAGATACGTTCAACGTTTCAGATAATAATTTTAATAAAGCCGCTTCATTGTTACAGCAAATGCTGGGTGTGGATGCAAGATTTGGAAGTAGGGTACATGAGAGTCCACACCACCTCAGCCCCACCATGGTTGGGGATGAGTGAGAAAATTTTGAGAGTAATGGAACTCTAGGTGCCCGGAAATTGCACTCTCATATATTAAAAATCTTACCGGTAATTTATATCACCAATACAATACAACATTTCTTAATACAATCTAGGGGGATACGATCGCACCGTCTGCACCCCCTTTCAATCGCCCCAGGAATGGGCAGCTTGTAAACGCTTCTAGCGCCAGATTATGCAAGAAAGGTATGACGTGTGTGGCTGAATCGTGCTCAGTTGTATCATGGTACTGTAGAAAAAAACAATCAACAATTGTCGGGGAAAAACACAAGTGTACGGTATTATTTCTTTAATATAATACTATTTAATTTGTATACAATGAAATTTTATTACCGAGAGAACAGATAATGACGTCCAACTCAGGCCCCTGTCTCTTATACACATCTAGATGGGGGGTTGAGGGGGTTACGATGAACCGCCCAAAAACTGGAGGAGGTCCGCATTTAAAAACAAAATATTGATATTCGTAGATATATTTACAATGTTCTCCAGAGAATCGGAGATTATACAAGCCAGAAGTAATAAAATAAGACATATCACTAAGTTCATCTCTGTGTTGTGGGTTTTTTTTTTTTTTTTATTGTATAATGGTTTCCAAAGGGTTCACTTTCCATTGAAACGAACCTCCCACTTATTAATAGGTTCATGCACAAATTAAGTCGCGCTACGGGCCTGAAACTATTGAATATACATGGAGGCTTCATGGTCAATCTTGCCAGGTTTTGTTATGTTGGTCCCTGACGTGACTGGGCTGCTGGGCCGCCGCTTGGTGCATGGAATTATAAATAGCCCGTGAAGTAAAAAGTTTGTGGAACACTGGTCTAGAAAACCAAAATATCACAGGGAATTCCCCTGACCCCCTAGGGTTGTTGTGTTATCTCGATCGCCCCACCCCCACCCCGAACATATGGGCCGCCCCTGGAGATTAATATGTTTTGGTCTTGACGTTGCCGCTCCATGTTGGTTTATTAAATAAAGGAGATAAATAATTATAGACCGAATTAGTCACCCGTCCCCCAAACCAAAGCCGTTTAATAATGGTGTTATAATTTATAACATCAAAACAAACCACTAGGTGGCAGTTTTTTCACACCATAAGCCTCCGCTCAAGTAAATTTTGACAATCTTGAAACTCCTCAAACTTATTTATTTTGTGTATTTTATCGTAAAGTAATTCACAGTATTGACCTGTTAGACTTAAAATGGAGTAAAAGTAACAAAATGTAAATCTTGAACATTTTTGCGCCTAACTAAACACGGCCCTAGCCCTAGACTAGAGAATCATACAAACAACGTTCTTCTGACCCATTGGCCATCTTAGTCAAAAGAATCATCTTATTCTACAATCAGCACTTCAAGTTTGTCCAATTTCAAATATTTCATAAAGAAATTGCATAACAAAATGAGTTGTAGACAGTATTAAGTTGTGAATGTACCTCTAATCAACAGTGAACACCTCAGTCACGCTGGATGTGCCGAGGCCTAGGAAGGCCCCCCCCCCCCTAGAAGGCTTCTCGAAATTCTTCATAGTTTTAGTCTGAATGGAAATCTAAATCAACTAAATCTAATCAAATTAATCTACGAATCATTCAAAATGTATACATTGTTATAAAAAGCATCTTTTACGCTAACTTCATTACATTTTAGACGATTTAATAGACACCACTTTCGACTCAGCTCAATGCATTTTAAACATAGCACTTTGCAATGTTGACGTCATCGTTGGCACTAATTTGATCTATTGATCCACAGTCTGGAAGACAACAGATTAGATGGCCATGGAAATACCGGCTTCCGCGGATGTATACGCACCCGCTTGTTGTTATGACTAGTCTGAACATTTTATACCTTCATGGTCTGAAGCATATCCCTTTATTTGGACAGTACGAGAGTTTTAAAGTGTTTTAAATCCCTTGAAATATTATCGACGTCCAAAAAAATAAAACAAACGACTCCCTCGATTGAATAAACGCCCCTCAACAATTCCCTTCTCAAAAATAAACACCCCTGACGTTCATCCAAATAAATACGGTATCCGTACTGATTTAATTACGTGTCGTATAAACAAGGCGAAATAAATGAAATACTGTAAAACCATTTACCGAAAGGTCCACTGATTAATTTTCGGGATTCAATATTTCGACATTAATTATATCATCATCAGGGATGAAAAATAAATAAATAATTAATTTATTATGTTTATTTTTATCTTTGTTGTGGTTTAATGGAATTTTTCGACTTTAATTATTGTTTTCATTTTTTTTTCTTTCGTCACCTTTTGCTTTGTTAAGGCTCGTTCTCAACTGTCAGCATTTTCACAAACGTACAACCATACTGTTCTCTGTTACCCCCTCCCTTGATATGGATATTGCAAAACAACTAACTACTGTAAATTAATATACAGTATTTGCTCACCCGTACATAAGCTAAAGTACATTACAGTAACATCCATGATTGCACTATAATTTGGTCGTAAAAGTTCATGCATATGTAAAAGCGTATCAAGTGGTCTCTCCAACGCCCCCCCCCCCCACCAGCATAATGTTTGTGCACTTGTGAAAATGCTGATATTTGGGAGCGATCCCTTACAAATAAACAGACAGTATACTGTATTGTATATTTGTTTAGAAGTATGCCTGTATAAAAGTTATTCAATACCTTTAATTTTCAATGGTATAATTTTTTAATTTGTAGTCTTATTTTGTATGTACAGTTTTTTCCGTGTTTATATGCATATTTTATCAATGATTGTGTAGAAGTGTGCTCCTTCTTTAGTTACTGTAATTTTTATATTTTTGTAATTTAAGCTGAACGCACCACTTTTGTGTGTGCCGCTGCTACAAAGGCGTATGTTCTCAAGAAATAAATAAATAAACCGATATATTAACGGTAAATTAACCTGCTTAACGGTAAAGTCGATTCGGATTACAAGGACACGATTACGTAACGTAGGTGCGCATCTAAACCGATGTTGTTTCAACAACGTACTGCTCTAACAATGCTAACAGCAGCAACACAGAGTCTCATCAGCATAGTTTTCATATTTGAAATGGGTAAAAACCACTAAAACTTCCGTTTTAAATGGCCATTGCCGGTTTTCATTGCCGGAAACCAGAGATTAAATCGTCCCTGGTGACCTCAGCCCGCATTAATAGGGCCAGCTATTTTAAGAACCATGCAAAATCTGAAGCAGGCTGCCGGATGGGAATAACTCGTGTGGATTCACAAACAAGACCAAAAATGTTGAATAACCCTGGCCACCGTTTAAATTTAGAACCCATATTGAGCTCAGTTTTCCCAAATCTGCTAATTTGAATCATGCCCGTATAATTTACATAAAATCTTCTACTGTATTTCGTATGGAATCAATTTTTTAGTAACTGAAAGTCACAGCGTGTTACTAAAAGTATAGCACAGATTGCATAACTTATATCAAGTAGCCATATTAATACTACTCTTTTTTATACTGGAATTAATGAATGAAACAATCTACCAAGTACTATACAATATATCGAAGATAATTCATCGTTGAAAAAATAAGTTAAAAACATCTTGCCTTAAAGGTATTATATATATTAAAAAAAAAAAAAAAAAAACTCCCAAGGTTGGTATTAATTTAATTTTAACTGCTAAATTTAACATGCCCGGAGCAAGTAAACACTTTAGGGCAGAGTCCTGATGCCTGATTCATGACCCATGGTAGATGAGCATTGTTATAAATCATAGAGATAAAACGGGTTTTATCGTCAACATTCGTAATTTTATTTTACATGATTGTTACTTGAGTTTTGCCGTCTCTTGCTAGAGTACATTTAGTCATTGACTGATACCAGAGACTTCATTGCTACTAAATTAGTAATCTGATTTGGTTGTTGAGAGTGAGGCTGACAGATCACTATGGCTTTACAATATTTTGGTGGACCATTGAAAATATTTTTTTTTAAATTAGCTAATGAATTCGGAAAAAACAATCTCTTATAAATTGTTCCCTGTCTACTTGACTGTGTATGATTGCCCTCTGGAGTATCGAGTGGATGGGCTGACCTCTGCATTTATTTGCGACACTATAGAAAGTTAGCATTTTGCCCCGTCGGGGAGTTATATGTATTTTGTACATATTAATAGACTCAAAAATCGATTAATTAAGCCTTTGAAACCCTAAATCGTCATTTTTTGGGGGGTTGGGGCTACGTCGCCTGGACACGGTTTTTTCCGTACGAAACATTTGCATGATGAAACGTCACTCGGGCCATCTTGGATTGACTCGACTCGAGTTCGATACGAAGAAAAGAGCAGACACTTCGCAATGTCGTGACGCTCAAGTTTTACTATTGTTCTGTCTAAAGTTCATCTACGGTAGGCCTATGAAATTGTACGTGTGTAACTAACTGTGTTCTTGTATGTTATTAAATGTTAGTATAATATCTACAACAAAAGCTAGTACCCCCTTTTATAAAGTGTAGATAGGTACAGTAATACCGAAGGCTAGAGAGAAAGAGGATAAATAATAGGCCTAACTACAGGCTGGTTAAGTCCTACGTAGGCCCCTCCCTAAACTAGATCTAAGTCCTTAGGGTCCTAGGCTGACACCAACAGTCACGCTTCACAAAAAAATTGAAGCATGGAATAAAAAATAGAGTGCATAAGAGAAATATTATTAAATAATAATAAATAAAATAATTCCGGCATTATTAAACTTGGCCAAATTATCCTTGTAATGTAATTAATATTAAATAATAATAATAATAATAATAATAATAATAATAATAATAATAATAATAATAATAATAATCATCATTTCAGCATTAATTAACTTGGCCTAAGCCTTCAAGAACCTACAGTCTATAATATTTACTAGGCCTATAATTAATAACTAGCCCAAGGGGAATATCTTTTGTGTTGTTTCCCCTTAACGTTGTTTTTTGTTCTCTAATTTCGCCATTGTCTAAGTTCCCCTTAAGGTAGGTTTTAGTAACATAATAATAATAATAATAATAATAATAATAATAATAATAATAATAATAATAATAATAATAATAATAATAATAATAATAATAATAATAATTTCTGCATTAATTAACTTGGTCTAAGCCTTGCAATCAAGCCTGCAGATACTATTTACTAATATTAATAACTAGGCTTAGGCCTCATTTATACATTCATTGGTGCTCTGCCATTTTTCCAGGTTTTATGGCATCCAGTATTTTCGAGCTGCCTATTCTCAGCTCTTATGTTAATTTGAAAATAACTGTCACCCTGTTTCATTTTATGATGAAACGCGCTTTTCCTTCCTCTTTGTGCTTTCCCCTGACAGCGTATAGTTTTTAGTAGTTAGTAGTAGGCCTAGGACCTAGGTAATTATTATGCACCAGGCTCCCAGACCTAACTAAAAAATAAAAATCGTCACAGTATGTAACTCAAGTTTAAATAACACTTTTCATTACTCGTGCAGCTCAATCAAATCTAGCCTATATGTCATTTAAACGACACATTAGTATTATTTAGCATGGTAACATCAATGTATTTTTTTTTAATCAGACAGCGACGTTCTCTCAGAAGTTGTCTTGTAGACGTTTATCTGTTGATGACCTTTTGACTTCCTGAATTCTGCAATAGGAGATTTTCGAGTCGATTTAGTTGAGACGACGGCCCGAGTGGAGTTTCATGTTAAAATGTTTTGTACGGAAAAAAATATCACCCCTGGCCCCAAAAGGTTTTTAGCGACGGCCGCGCCGCCACTTATGCTGCCAAGTACTTCGATCTAAATAGGCCTATTTTGTTTTGTACACTGCAGTGATTCGTTAATAGCATTACTTCACACAGGGGTATTAAAACGTTGGTGATCAACAGACAGTACTCATTAAAATACATTTTATTAATAATATTTTTTTTCCTAATCTATGTATATATCATTAAAGCAATTATTTTAGTATGACCATCATAACGAAATAAAATAGCATTGGCCTTGATAATGTTTGGCCTGAAAAGCATGGGATGGGTGATTAAAGAATAAAAATAACTTACCCGGAACTTCTAACGACTTCTGAAACAATTCATGACGTACAAGGATTTTACGAAGGCGATCGACATCCGGACATTTCATTAAGAAATTATAAGAATCCCACATAGTATCTTCCCATGATTCTCCGTTAGCCGACATCTCTGCCTGTGATCAATCCTGCTTCGAAGTACTACAGTAAAGAGAAGGCCGGTTATAAAACTTCACGACACGAATCAGCATACAAAGGAAAGACAATTTCCCCAGAAGGCCGCCCTCTAATAATAATAATTTATTGAACTTACCAAAGTTCAATAAACTGTTCCCTCTATGGAACGCCGTTAGTATTTATTTAGCACATTTTTTCCCGTAGGATGGATTGGTAAAATCTCGTGAATTATTCAAATAATCCTTATAGAACCTATTTTTCGATTTTTGGATAAAACAACACACACACGAGGCTCCATTCACTTTTGCAGCTCATGGTTTCTATGTGGGCCTTGTATTTAGATAATCAGCATGGCCGGCGAAACCGGAGGGTTGCTCCCTACCCCTACCCACTTTTTGGCAGAAAATATATGTCTAAGGAGATTTTTGTATGACCGGAAAGAAATACAATAAAAGAAAGAGGGAAGGAGGAGAGGGAGAGGAAAGAGAGTGTTTATCCAGTCCCCGACCGCAATAGATTTTCTCGCAAATCACATTGGCGGATCTGGGAGATCAGGGGTCCTGAAACCCCCCCCCCACTTCCTAGGGCAAAAAAAAAAGAAAGAAAAATAAATTAAGAAAATAAATTTTTAAAAAATATAATTAAAAAAAATAAATAAAAAAAATAAATAAATAAATAAATAAAAAAGATTTTAAAATAAATTTAAAAAATAATAAAAGAATTCTAGACCTGTGAGCTGATTTTTTCTTTTATTTATTTATTTATTTTTTTTTTTGTTACAATAAGAAAGTTAGAAGTCGGAAAAGCTCATTTCCCGCCATCTAGGAATCAACATTTTCTCGGGAGAGGGCCCCCGATCCCCCTTTTATTTTTGGGATTCATCGATTTACGGAATGAAAGAATACGTATGTAACGCATGTATACTGGTAATAGGTCTATTTATTGTAATAAGAATGAGAAAAATTAACCTGACTAGCTGGGGGAAACCTTGAATTTTGAAGAACTTGAAAGTCATTAAAAGAACACCTAAGTCGGAAAAGCTCATTTCTCGCCTTCTAGGAATCAAAATTTTCCAGGGGAGAATCCCGGACACCCCTTTCTATAAGATCTTTGTCTAAATTAACTTTTTCGTTGGTGGCGCTGTCCAGAATGAGAAAATAATTTTAAAAAATAAGAGACTTGTGGAAAGTCTAATTTCCCCCATTCAGTAATCAAAATTTTCCCGGGGAGGACCCCCGAATCCCCCTCTTCCTTTTTCAGATTTATCGATTCATGTGATAAGAATACGTATGCAATCACTCAATTTTACACACATAAGGCCTATTTACTGTAATAAGAATGAGAAAAATTTACCTGACCGTTTTCAAGAGGGGAAATCTTGAATTTCGAACAACTTAAAAGTCATTAAAAGACATTACTGAAGTCGGGAAAGCTCATTTCTTGCCATTTTGAAATCAACATTTTCCTGGGGAGAACCTGAACCCCACCTTTCTCTTTGGGGTTCATTGATTCATGGAATCGTTTCAAGGGGAGAAAACTTTGAATTTTGAACTTATTTCCTGCCATCAAGGAATCAAAATTTTCTCGGGGGAGAACCCTGAACCCCCTTTTCTCTTTGGAGTTTATCGATTCATGGGAAAAAGAACATGTATGCAACTACTCATTTTTTATGTATACATGGGTGTATGCAAGGAGGGTGGGGTCGGGATGGTCGTACGACCCCCCACCCCACAAAAATTTTCAAAGGTCCACATTTTTCCCAAAGACATTTTTTGCTAGGGCCTTCTCACAAAGACATAAATGAAAAAGCATTGACGAGATACCAGCAATGATTTGCCCAGCGGATGGGTCCCAGGTCCCCGACGGGTGTGCCGATGTCCCCGACGAGGGAAGAATTTCCTCGACGAGAACAAAGTGGGCGTAGTCAAACGTCGCTTTAAATGCCTCGAAATCTAGGGGGGCGAAGCCCCCAAAACTTTGACAATTCCTTCCTTATATAACGTAGTAACGAATGTGGAAAAATCGATTTTTTTTTTTTATTTGTGAATTTGTTGTCTTACTGTGTAGAATCTCTGAAAAAAAAAGTTAAGTCAATTAGATAAGTAATTAGGGAAGAATATTAATTAGCAAACTGACGAATGTCGCTATATCAATCGGTTTGTTTACTACAAACTGGCGAATGTATCATTTCCCATGCACTACGTATATCTCGCTTATGGTTTTCTCCTTTAACGGCAGTGCGTGCACAGGCGCGGATCCAGGATTTTCCCTGACCTTCGCACACATGGGATGGTCTTTGCAGTGTTGAGTCCAGAAATTCGAAATAAAGGGTGCCCAGAGAGGTCCCTTCACAGATAGACACCTCAGCCACACCATGTTTGGGGCTGAGTTAAAATAATGTCGCCTCTAGATGGCCGGAATAATATTCTCAGGATTTGAAAATAATTTTCATTTTTTTGGCATTCTTTATAAATAATTTTTAAATAGGCCTATTTATAAGGGCCTGGGCCGACTGCTCCCCTTGAATCTGCACTGCATGTGGAAATTCTCTAAAGCTCAGGTGACCTAAGGTTTTAAAACAAATATTGCTAATTATGAATTTCTATAAAAAGAAACGAACAGATTCTGGAGAGAGAGGACTTGATGGTTGTTATACAAGATAGATTAGTCAGACACGCCTTGAATATCAACTATAAACAACATAGGCCTATTACAAATAAAGACCTGTATAGAGACATTCCAGCTGCATAAAGAACTTAGAGGCACGAAGGTTAGCATTTTGCTGGACATTGCTACAGAAGTAAAAATGAAGTTATTTCAAGGGTTCTCTTTTGGAAACCAACCCATGGGAAAAGGAAGCAAGGACGGCCCCGGCTATATACGGTACATCAAGCAATTAGAAAAGGATCTAAACACACAGCGGCAGTACATTCCACAACCTATGGAAAACAGAGATTTGTGGAGAACATTCATAAAGAAAAGTTATAACTTTGTTTATAATTAACCGGGTGTGCCCGATAGGGAGAGATAGAGAGAGGGGGAGGGAGAAAGACAAGGAAGAATATTGCTACAGTGGCGTATGCGGGGTGGGGGTGCTCAGGATGCCTGGATACAGTAATTTTCCTAGTTTTTATGTATTAAAGTGCCATTTTCTGTCATCTAAAAGTCCAAAAAAAACCCCGAAAGGTCCACTGAGTAATCTTAGATAAGATAGTATACATCGAAATGCACGTGATCTTGTCGGTATTCAATATTTCGATATTATTTATGTCATCATCAGGGATGATCTAAAAGTCCCCAATTTTTTTAAATTTTCTCACCTCAGCCTCATCCATGATGGATAAAGCTCAGGTGGATATAGTCATTTTCGTGCCATTTCCGGCATCTTAAAGCCTCATATTCTTACAATTGTCTTACCTCAGCCTCAACCATGATGGGCAGAGGTGGATGGATTGGTAGTTTTCATAAATTTTAAGTATTTACGTGCCGTTTTCGGGCCTCCCAAACCAGATCCATTGGTCCAACAAATGATGAATGTTAGAAAAAGGCGAGTAAGTAAACCAATTGTTCCTATTGATAATTGTTGATTTTATGCGCGTCCCACCCGCCCACTGTAAATAATTCATTGGGCGTGGTTCTAAAGAATACTATTGTTAGGCTCATAGAAGTACGCAACAACCAATTTAAATTTATATGATTAAAAATTAATTTTTAAAATTTTAACCAGAGCCTTGCAGGCATATATCTGTCTCTTATACACATCTAGATGTGTATAAGAGACAGCCTCAGCCACACCATGTTTGGGGCTG